CGAAGACCTCCGTGGCTCTCGGGCAGCACGTTACAGCATCTTTCCTCCAGTGAGAGCGTTGCCCGACTGTTGGAGCCGTTTCTGGCCCAACGGAGAAACAAAGGGCATCTTCACGATGCTCTCTTTCTCGCTCTCGCCCGTTAAGGAATTCGCCAAATTAGTCATTCACCAGGGGTCCCCCGTCATTAGCTTGAATTAGCCAGGTCCCGCTCCATTTTGCATATATGATAAAGGGCCGAATCGGGCTATTCAGGCACCAGCCCCGGAGGTGCGAAAAAGGATCCCTTTGGCCAGAGAGTGTAACTTGTGGCTTTTTCTTTTCCCGGTCATCCTCTCTTTCTGCAGCCGAAATCACCCTGGTAAGAGAACCAGGGGCGCTCAGACTGCAGCTGTCATTTTTCTTTTCCGCTCGCAGGGGGAAGGGAAGCTTTGCTGCTGTGGGGTATGGAGAAACAAATTGCCCGCTCAGCCTTCCCGGGCTTGCAGCAGGGTGGAGAGCTCTTTCTGGGATCAAGCTTAACCCTCTCTTTGTTTTTAAATTTTTCACCTGTTCACTTTCTCTGGTGCACCCAAGGATCCACAGCAGCTGCTTTTCCCTGCCTGGAGCCTGCGCGCTTTCTCCTCCTCTTTGGAAAGCAGCCAGATCAAAATGGCTGTGAACCAAAGCCAAGAATCACTCCCTTTGCTATGGAAATGAGGGCTCCGCGAGACTGTTCAGCGTGCGTTCATCATAGACGGTTCCTGTTGAGAACGATGCATTTTGGGTGAAGTGGGGGGAGGGAAGGGAAGGGGAGGCGGGCACCACGGCAAAGGTGTGCGTTTGAGCCGAACGCTCCTGAACGAAGAGATTGGATTCAGCAGCCTGGAGTCCTTTTGCACTGGTGAAACGATGGGTAATTTTTTAAAACCCCTTCCTTGTGATAAAAAGGAAGGAGATTGGGTGGCATCCTTTCACCGTGGGGAGAAGGGAATTTCTTAGCAGGTGGGAGAAGAGCAGGGGGGGTATCAGGCCAGCGTGCTGGAGAACGGAGGCTTTTTGGGAGTGAGCAGGTGGAGAGAAGTGGGGTTGCTGCCGGAGCTGTAACGATAACGTTTCCGTTCCCAGGCTCCGAGCAGACACGTTGCAGAACTGCACGCGCAGCATGTGGAGCCGGGGCTGTCCAGGGTTGGGACCACCTGAGCACAGGCTAAAAACTGGCTTTACCTTGGCTAAAGCCTTTGATTGAAGCTTTGGCACGCAGCGAGGTTGAAGGGGGCAGGGAGCGGGGCAATTATGGGCTTGCAAAGTCCTTGTGAAAACGTATTGCCTTGCACCGCCGACCCGCTCGCCCGTCTCGCCCCGTACGTGAGCCACTTCTGACTCATTCCTGCAGAGATCCCGGGAGGTGTGTCGCCAGGTAGGCAGGAGCAGTGCCAAGCATGGGTGCTTGCTGTTCTGCGTGGATATTGCAACACGTGGCGCCTTCGGAGCACACCCCTCCCCGACTTCGCCCAGCGTGTGGATTAGCTTCGTTCTTGGGCACGTTGTTTGTTAGCGGCCTGGCTAGCTGGGAAGCGATTTGGCAATGGAGAGGAGGAGGCTTCGTCAGCCTTAGAGCAGCCGGTTAGAAAGAATCCCAGGGACAGGATAAGGCTCTGTATTATAGCATTGCCAGGTCGTCTTCTTTGCGATGTGTTTTAACTGAAGCTCAAGCCTCTTTGTTGCCCTTGCTCAGGTGAGACGGTGTGTTTTCTGTCCTTTGCATATGGGACGGAGAGGCTAAGTAACTTGCCAGAGGTCACTCTGCCGGTCGGTGGCAAAGCTGGGATTGCAGCTGGGGTCTCCCGAAGCAGCCACATGCTCGAAGCATTTAGCACATGCCTCTGAATCGCGGCAATTGAATTTTGCAGGGCATTTCTCCCAAGGGTAAGAGCAACGTCCTGGTGCACTTCCACCTGGAGCTATTACTGTATTTACCCGAATCTAAGATGACTTCAAATTTAAGACGACCCCCATCCCTCCCCACCCAATAATTACATTCTAGACCTGCAAAATTATTATAATGTTTCATGTCTCAAATCTAATTATTGCAGGGTCATCTTAAATAAGTAGTTGAGTAGTTGTGGTATTTCACCCGAGAGATGAGTCTAGCCGCCTACCAGGTAGAAGCGACTGTGCATGTGCATGTGCGATTATATATTTATAAAAATAAAACTTGAATTGCTCCTTTGGGGCTGCTCCGCAGAGTTTAGCTCAACCACTTACACTGCTGCAATAAACTGCGAGCATGAGAAATTATCAGCGTTTGTGGGGGACTTGAGGCTTTCCTGTTAATATGCTAATCTGGGTGGAAGAGAAGTTGCTGCTACTGGCCTTGTGATGGTGTAATGTCAAATGTGTGTCGGTTTTTTTATTTTGCAATAGCTTCCTCTTTGCTCTAAATTATGTGCAGTAACAAATGTTTTGTGCATTAATTTTCAGCCGGAGTAATTCCAGTTAGTAATTTTTAGTTTGTAAATCCCAAGAAGAAACACCTAAGGATGCTAATTCTTAGCTTTTTCTCATAGCACTTTTCAGCCCTAGGTTTCCAGTTGCCTGCAAAATTTAGCGTTCGGACTTACAGCTGTTTTCTTTTAAGCTACAGGAGTTCTTAATAAAGCGCCATTTGTGGCACTTCTGTAGCTTAAAAGCAGCTAACTCATTTGGAGAAATGTAGCAGGCTCCTGCCAGAAACGGTCCGTCTCTAATCCTCTGTGTGCATAGGTAAGGCCCTTTGTATTGCTTTAAATAATCGCTTAGGATTTCTGGCTGAGTAGCAGAGACTCGAGAATAGGCAAACTGCAGCGGAGGCGGTAGGTGGGTTGTGCTCGGACAGAGAAAAGACCCTGGGAAGGCGAGCTGTCAGTGTGCCAGGTCATCTCTCGTGTCCTTTCGGGGAGAGGGAAAGCCAAACTATTTGGGCAGCTACACGATGATCTTGGTGGAAGCTGAAATCACAGTAATGAGAATTTTTTTTTTTTTTTTTTTTTAAAAGCAACTGTCTAGACCGGATGGCTGAAAAGACTTGGACTGAAATAGAGAGCCGTTTACCTCCAGGTCACTGGCGTGAACTCGGTTCGGGTCATCAGTGGCTAGAAGTCATTACCATCCGACAGCTGCTTGGCCTGCGCGGAAGCAGTTGGTGGTCTGCTCTGCTCCGAGATGGACAGATGTCCACCTTGCAGACATCGCCAGCCTCGTTGGCACGTTTCTTATCAGGCTTTGCATAGAAACCCGGGAGCGACTGGGCCCCTCTGATATAGCAGCCTGGGGGAAACTGGGGCTGCTGCCTTCCTGACTTCGAGCATTGCTGTCCAGGGCTCTGTCCTGCAGCTTTTATACCAACATTACGGGCTCCTTTGAACACCACGTTATGGTCCGTATCCTCTGCAGATTTTAAAACCAGGGGCAAGCTGGCCTCAGGTCTGCTATGCTCATAGTCTTTAGTGCTTTGGCATTCAACAGAAACACTAAGGGTGTTGGAATTGTGCAGGAAAGAAATGCACTGTAGAGAATATTTCCTGTTTTCCATGGAAATTGGAGGCGTCTCATTATATAATTGACTGACTGGTAAAGCTGCAAGACACTTAGCAGACTTTTTTTTTCCTTCCTTTTTTCCAATGGTATATCTACTGCATGACTGCTTGGCCAGTTCTGATGGGAGCTTTCTTCCAGACGCGTGACTCTTTAACTATTTAGTGCACAGACGTGACAAAGTAGGTCGTTTTTAAACCTACCTGGAGGTGTGTTTGCACGCAGGTGCACGATAGCGAGTCTTGCATCTTTTCTGCTTGCAGAGAGGTTGTGTGCACACGTATGTTGGCACACACTAAACCTGTGTGGGGTGTGCAAAGCGTTTCAGACCTTCACTTCCCTTTCGAAAGGTGAATTTCCCTGTCCTTTTTGTTGAGTTAGGAACATATGGGCTGGCAAACTTATGGCCGGACCCTTAATTTCTGTTGTTGCAGAGACGGGGCACTTCAGACACTACGTGGAGGCCCTGCCTTCCCTATGACAGCACAAACTGTGATAGAGAAAATGTACAATGGGGGAAATCCTTTGCTGTTTTCAGTGAAGGGTCCAGAAGCTGCAGATGCGGAGAAATAAGACAGTTGCCCTTTTCCCTTGAGAGCCAACTGTTCTTGGAAACTTTGCCTTCCCAGTGAGGGGTGGGGAGCTGGATTTTTCCGTGTCCCTCTGAAGTCGACTGACACGGGACCCAGGTCCCGCTGAAAAAGTATTTTCTCAAGAGGAGGAGCAATGCAGATGCACTCAGAGACAGTTTGAGCCAGTAGCTTGTTTCCATTGCTCCTCCCTGCTTAGGAAGCTAATTTTATTATTTTTAATGAGATTTTGGAGGCCGACTAGAGAACGGGAAGCTAGCTAGCATGCAGAACCACTTCACAGGAACACCGCTTTCTCAGAGCTCGCAGTTGAGCAACAGCTCCTGGACCCTGTCTGACTTAAAAGCCGAATAAGTTCAATCTAAAAACCAGGCAGTTTCCCCCATTTCTTTACCCTCTGCAAGCTGTTTTCAAACGTGGGCATTTTTTCCTTGGAAGGGCATGCTGAGCTGGGTGCTGCCCTTGCGGTACTAAGATGGACATGATGGCAATGGGTGGAGGGGGGAGAAGGTTGTCTGCGGAAAAGAAGTCTTGCGGCTTTTGGTGTGGACCGTGGTATGGCTTGAAAGCATCCGGTAGTGCTGGACACAAGACTGTGTGGATTTGAAGCCTTATATAGAGCTTTAAAGCCATCTGCAGTTAGCCTGGTTTGAAGTATAAGCGGGTAGAGCATGAACATATGTAAGGAGAGGAGGGATAAGCGAGAGCCGCTGCATCTCCTGCAGCGCGTGGAGCTTGACTGGTGTTCGTGGGTGGAAGCAAGGATAGCCAGAGGGATGGCTTGTAGAAAGAAAAGACCAGTCCACGTGCACCCCGCAGGCCTAGTCCTTCTGACCTTCTTGCTCTTTCCCCCTCAGACACCATGAGGCGAGTGGTACGGCAAAGCAAATTTCGGCACGTGTTTGGCCAAGCCGTGAAAAATGACCAGTGTTACGACGACATCCGGGTTTCCCGCGTCACCTGGGATAGCTCTTTCTGTGCGGTCAACCCCAAGTTCGTGGCGATCATCGTTGAAGCCAGCGGCGGTGGAGCCTTCCTGGTGCTGCCCCTGCACAAGGTAAGTGTGGTGGGAAGGGCCCGGCTGGGGTCATCTCAACCTCGTTTATGGACGGGACAGGGCTAGAGAAACCCCTGCTGCTTCACAGCTGGGTTTGAGTGGCAAATGCTAGGTGGAGTCGAGCATGCCTCTGGAGTCGCTCCAATGCTGCCTTTAAATAGAACGCAGTAGGAGAAGGGCTCGTTTCGCTAATTTGGACCAGCTCTGCATGGAAAAAACTCCTAATTAGAATGAACTGCTCCCTGTTTGCAACAGCAGCGGTCCGTCTTTTTGCATTAGGAGGCTTTAGCTTTCTAAGCCATTCCCTGGTACCCTGCCGGCCCCGAGTGCTTTGTCCCGTTCAGGCTGCCTGCATCTGACTAGCTCCGGTGGGGTGGCAAGGATGAGAATTGATACCGAGGGAGCGGAGGCCGTAGGATTGCCGGAGGCCCCATTACTACTGCCGGCAGGAGAGTTTCAGCCTCCAGTCTGGCCCTTGAGGTGAGATGGTTTAGTCAGGGATGCTCCTACCCTGAGCAGTGGGTTGGTCTGTGGGCCCCGTCTCACCGGTGCAGGTACAGCACCAAAATAACGTGTGTGAGCAGGCATGTCCTGCAACCCTTTTGCAACTCTCCTGCTTTTCCCTTGGAGCGTGTGAGAGTGCCTGTGCAGGCTCTCTTGCTGCTCCTCAACCAGGGCCTGTCTGTTCTCCATGCCTGGCATGCGGTAGGTGAGGCTGTCCTACCCATCTCTGATGGGGAGGCATGCTTTGAAATCCTCAGCCAGGCACGAGGCAGCGGTATCGTAATAACTGCCTGCATAGACAGTCCACTTGTTCCTGTCTTAGGCCTTGCATTCGTCTTATTTATATAACCCCATAAAGTCATACAGCCCCTTTCTATAGAAAGGCTTAGTCTGCATCCAGAGGAAAGGCAGACACAGGAACGCAAAGGGAGATTGTAGCTGGGAGGCATCATAACAATCTTTGCAATTATGGCATGGAAACATATGACGCTTGTCTCAGAGGCAGCAAATTGAAGTTTGTTCCCCAGGCATCTCTTTAAAGGCTCACAAAATATCTCTGGGTTTTTTTTTTCCTCCTGCCTGAGAGGTGGGGGAAAAAAAGCGTTCAGATCTTCCCTTTTGATGTCTTGACTTTTTATCACAGCCAGTTGATAAGTCTCACAATACCAATTACAGCTCTTTGAAAGGAGTTTAGACAACTCGATCCCATAATGTGATATCTGTTTAAAGAGAAAGGAGGGGGGGTTGGGAAAAAAAGCCCTGAATACATAGTTTGGCTCCAGTGGCTCGTTTCTCTTAGAAAGAGACTCTGCTATTTTGGAGGAAGGCTAAGATGATAATCTCACAGGAGAATATGTTGTTCCTGGATGACTGAGAATCTGAGGGCCTGGAACAGAATGAGAATATCCTGGTCTCCACGAGCGCGTCTGGGAGGGAGAGCGGAGAGGTTAGCAGGGGGTTATCTCTCTAAAATTGTAACTCTAGCTCCAGGCAGATATTTGAAAGAGCAATAGAGGTGGCTGCAGCCGATTCAAGTCCTGCGGTCCGTCTGGCTACTGCCGCTTGTCAGAACCTAATGGCTGATGCAAGTATTTCTGTGCTTGCAGAGGGACTGGCCATGTCAGCAGTTAGTGGTTGGCTTATACCACAAAGCAAGAGAGTTTTTTAGTCTTTCTAAAAACAAAACAAAAACAATTAAAACGGTGTAGGGTGTGCATGTGTGTGCATACAGTCCTGGGCAATCCCGTGCTGCACGGTCGGCAATGCCTGGAAGTGGAGACTTCCATCTGCGAGCTGTGTGTCATGTAGGACTTGCCACATTTGCCTTTCCAGTTTTATAAAAACAAATAATTAGGGTTTGAAGGGGTCTCAGGAGGTCTCTTCTAGTCCAGTTTCACGGGCCGTTCTGCAGTTTCTGTACTATGAATGCCGTAACACCTGGGTGCTTCTGTACCTCTGCTGCAATCTTCATTGGGTTTTTGGGGGTTTTGCATTTATGTCTCTATTGTGACCCTCCATTTGCTTCCCTCTAATCTAATGGCTCCACCGTCTTCAGCCTCTTCTCTCGGGTCAGTCCTGGCTTCTCATAGTTTTCTTTGCCTGTTTCTGGGACTCCACCTCTTTGGCACATCTCTGGGGAGAGGGTCACCGGAGTCACACAGGGTGTCCAGGTGGAGGGTCCATCGTTGGTACCCAGGGCTGGAACTGATGTCTTGGGTCGTGCAATCCCGTTCCCCGTTATCCCAGGCAGCACATGGTAGAATCCCTCTCATGAAAAAAAACCCAAGCTGTGTCTTGAACCTTGCTGGGTTTCTTGTCTCTGCTGTGACTGGCAGGACGTCCCAGAACTTCTCCCCTCCTGGGAAGAAGCCCTCTTCGAGTCTCCAAGCTAAATTTATTCCTGGCCAGTTTCTGCCCAAACGTTTGTTCATGTGCCAGGGCCGCCCTTTGCCTCAGATAGCCCGTCTCCTAATGCACTTCGAGAGCAATCCTATCCCCTCCAGCCTTTGTCCTGCTACTCTAAACAAGCTGTCTCCTCTCCGGAAGTTGGCACTCCGCTCTCCAGGTCGTCCTTGTAGCCCTTTCTCCGCTCCTGTCCCAGCTTGAATTTGCTTTTCCTGTGCCTGGTGCTCCAGGGGAGCTCTCACTGGCGCCTTGGGTGTTTGCATCCGTGCTCGCCTGTCTGCTAGAAACACCTCCCTGGTGCATCCTTTTCCCTGGCGTTAGTAGCTTTGTCCACTCGTTGCTTGTCCACTAATGCACCCAGGTGTGTCTTCGGTCTCCGTCATTCCCTCCTGGAGATGGATGGTTGAAGCTCTCCCCAGCGACCTTCCTGCAGCCTGGCATGTCAGATGGCTACGTATGCAGCCCTATTTGCCCTTTTAGCCAGCTCCATCCCTTTGCTGGTTCTGCTATCCTCTCTTTTCTTCTTTCCGCATCCTAACGCCTCATTTTTCTGAGTGCCGTGGCCTGCTGAGCAGGGGGCTTCATGGAGCTGTTCACAGCAGCCTTGCAGTCGTATCCTAGCTGTCCTGTTCGCTTCCAAGCGGGATGAATTTAAATGTCGCTGCTCTAACGAATCGGACCGGGAAGCAGCCCTTGGTGCAATTCCAGGGAGCAGCCGGGGACAGCCGAGAGCACCCCTTTCTCAATGTCATCGCACTGTAACAGTTCAAATTCAGCACTGAGCATGCGGGCCGCTGCACAGTTCTTTTCATGTTGCTTGACTCTTGGGCAGGGTTAGGTTGTATAATTTGGAAAGGAAACAGCTGAGTTCCCTACATTTGAGTTTCCCTTTGCATTTCCTGAGTTTAGTCAGGGAGGATTTTTTCCCCCCTGTGGTGGGGTCAGTATTTGGCTGTACTCGAGTGGTTCCCCACAGTCGAATGTGGACGTTAGCACAATGGTCAGGGCGGAGGACGAAAGCATGTTTGGAGCTGAGGCCTGGGTGGTTAGCTGGGAGGGCAGGACCTTGCTTTATCAAGGCATCTTTCTAGCAGTGGCATAGAGGAAAGGAAGGGGTTTGGGTCTCCTCCCCCGGCCGCCAGCATTTCTGTAGGTTGCTCTCGCCTGACAGGCTGCATGAAAGAGCCGAGCTGCTGCAAGCGGGCGCTGTTTTTCTCTGAGTCAGAAGTGAGCAGGTTTCCGGCCCCTCCTCTCCCTCTGGGGCTCTGACTAGTTTGGAGCAAAGCTGCCTCCACACCTCCCCGTGTGCAGAGGGTAGCTCGGGAAGCTGATGCCAAGCTGACTCACCCCGGCCAGGCTGGGAGGGCTCCACTCTGGCAGCACCACGTGGAAAGCACCTGGAAGTGCTGCCCCTGCATGCATCGCTTCGGTTTACACTAGCTTCTCCAGGATCTGGATTGTGCTGGCTGCCACCAGCACAGGGCTCTTGCTGCCTGGCTTTGATCCTTGCTTTTCCAGGCAGGGGCCGAGGACTGAGGTCTCTGCACAAGCACGCCAGCCAGCACACCTGAGCAAGTGGAGGAAGAGTGTCGCTAGGGGAGAGGCTAGGCTGGGCTGGGGAGGGATGTGGCTGAAGATGGGCATCGTAACCCCTGCGGAAGAGCTTCACCCACACACTCGCAGCCAGACGCGTGCAGCTATGTTTGAGCAAGGTGTTTAGAGATGTTTCTGCTATTCTTTGCCTTTCTAAGGGTTGTGCCAAGCTACCTGGGTGGAATATTCTCCCAATTCGGTCCCGTGGACGTGTTTCTCTCTCTGACTTCTGACAAAAGCACCTTTGCAAGCCCATTTCAAATTTGTTGAGTCTTCTGGGGGCGGGGAGCAGAGGAGCCTGCAAAACGCCTCTCTCCCAGCCATTTGGGTTTGGGTAGAGCTTATTCAGGGCCAAACCTAGATGCCGGTACCTCAGCCGAAGAGCCAGTCTCATGCGCTGGGGGATGAGTGGGAGCATGAGTCGTCCCTGGTGGAAGAGCAGACGCTGATTTGGTCTTGGCTGTAGGGGGTGGGAAGGATGGAAGATCCAAGCAGCAGCACCTGTAGCTTTTCTGCTTATGACTAGACGCAAGGATTTTGCCCTTAGAAACTAGTTCTCTGTTCCTTTAGCTGCCCCTGCTGGCAGACGGCTGCAGGATGGGCTCTCGCGTCCTCGTGAGGTTGGACCCACGTCTCTGGCACGTGTGCCTCCGTCTGCAGCAGTTGGGACCTCACCTGAAAAGGTTCAGAGTGGGACGATAATGATTCACCTGCTCCAGGTGCCTTAGGTCAAATCCTTGTGGTGTCCGCTCCGCCTGCTGGCTTTTTGGGCTGAACGTGGATTTGAACTGCTCCGGCATGCTCGGTTCGGTCGGAAAGGGGCTCGGGTGCTCTCCGCGAGAGATGGGGCAGGCACGGGCTTTGCCCTGGCCCTTGTGTGCCAGCCGCGGCTTCCTTGCTAGCGTCTGTGTGGCCGGGTAGGAAGCCGCGTGCTTTGGGACTGCAGTGCAGGTCCTTTGCATCCCCTCCCCGCACTCGGGGGTATGAGCCCCGTCCTT